TCTTGCCAAAATATAGATGAGAAGAGTTTGATGAAAGGAAATTTAAAGTAGTTGTAATGAAAAAAGTAAGAGATATTATATCCTGTTGGGATTGTGGTGGAAATGATTTGAAGAAAAATAAATTTAAAGTAGTTTGGTCTTAGGTGTCTAACTACCTAGCTATATTGGGTTTTTAAATATGGGTAGCACTATATGTGTAGCTTATTGGCAATAGTCAGTGTGATAATTATTTTTGGGCACTTTTAAGTAGCTATATATTTGCCTAATATGTTAGATAGTTAAATTTGTAAATTACAAAGCTTTTAATAAATTAGTGCGAGGTTATCAAAGTGAAAAAAAAAAAATTATATAAACTACCGTAGGTTTTCAAAAATAAGCTACCTTTTTTGGCCAAAAAAGTGTTACAAAAATTATAAAGTAGCTTATTTTCGGGTAAAGTTTCGAAAAGGTTGATTTTTAATATTTTTTTAAAATTTGAAAGTAGTTTCTATATATAAAAATCAAAATTCTATTATATTAAGTAAATCGATAAAAGTCACTTAATTGGAGTTGTTCAGGACGTAAAAATACACATATCTTAAAAGTTTGAAGCAAATCATAAAACTTTTTACTAAGATGTTTTTGCATTTTACATTCAAACGTAAAATGCAAAAATATTTTAGTAAAAAGTTCTCTAATTTGCTTCAAACTTTCAAGATATATAAAATAGATGTATTTTTACGCCCTGAACAACTCCTATTAAGTGACTTTTATCAATTTACTTAATAGAATTTTGACTTTTATATATAAAAACTACTTCCAGATTTTAAGAAATTATCAAGGGTAGCTTATTTTTAGAATAACAAATTTTTTTATATTTCTTCTCCAAGAAAAAAGAGTAGCTTATTTTTGGAGGTGGCTTATTTTCAGCAATATACAGTAGTCTTGAACTTTTAATTAAAAGTTTTTAGCACTAAATTTTATATATATACTCTCTAACTTTAATCTTAATACTAGTTCAAACTCTAACTTTAACTAATAATAATATAAATTTTTTTTAAATATTAACTTGCAATATTCAACCTGCTAAATTTAACAAAATCCTTTTATAATAAATTGTTTTAAAAAATTATATTTATTTTTAATAAAAAATATTTATTTAATAAAGTATACTATAAGAGATGTGGCGACTTAGTATAGTGGTCTAGTTATCACCCTCTCCAAGTGGCAGGTCTAGAGTTCGAATTCTACTAGCGATGATATTTGAAAAATAGGCTTGTGTACAGTTGACAGCTATGCTTATCAGTTGGATCTAGAACTAAAATCTGTAATCTCAGTCACACCATCTAGTAATGGGAGCAATAGTGCAATAAATCTGAAGAACCGGCATAACTGAAAACCCATTTGGGAAGTCCCGAGTTAGAAGTAATAGTGATCTTTGATGATATCACAAGAGGGCTAAATTCGAACCGGGGCCTGAGATCAGAGAACCAAACGACCAGGTCCTAATGGTGGAGAACATACTAGCCAAACCGCTAGGTTCTGTCACACCGGAAAAAAAGAACATATGCTTCGAAAGTATGTACCAAGAGAAGGGTGTCCTTCAGATACTTAAAGCCTGAACAGACCGACTCTTCTGAGTTGCCGGCTGGAAGTAAGGAAGAGATTAATAAAAAATCCGGGTAAGAAGATGGTTCAAATGTGGGTACCAAAGTTTTTGTGAATCTAAATAAGGGTGGAAATAGGTAATCACAGGGGTTCAATGGTTAGCCCTGACTCCAAATGCATGAGTAAAGCTGTGGCGAAGGTTATCGAAGTCTAGATAGAAATATGTGTAAAACATTTGATATCTAGCAAATGGTAATATCCCACTATTCAATAAGCCGATAGATACCCAAATAGGGTAAGTAAGCTTCACAATATGTGTTAACTTGTCAGTGAAGTAAAATAGGGGTTAATACTACTATACCGGGCTGTAAGGTTTGGTACGTCTCACTCTAAATAGTTAATGGGAAATTTTCGAGAACTGCAACACTGCAGAGGTAGGGACTTGGATATCTGCAGTAGGAGATGACTAATTAGGAAGGTTGTAGCTTGAGATACAGATCAGATTATGGCAGCACCCCAAAAGGTGGCATGAGATACGAACTTGGTGATAGCAGCATAACAGATACTAGTTAGGAATAAGTTATTAATAATATACTGAAACCTTTGTAAAATTATAATGTATATGTATATGTATATTTTATAATGAAAATAAAGAGGCAGTGTCGTTAAAAAAAAATAATAATAAAGTATACTATATATATTTTTTATAAAAAATTTGAATTTAATAATAATTAGAAGTAAAATAAAAGTTAAAATTAAACTATAAATAAAATTGTAAAAAAAAAATATTTTTTGTTAGTTATATATAACAAGAGTTACTTTAATAAAATTTTAAAATATAATAAAAATATATTGCAATACAAAGTATATTAAATAATAATATATCGGCAAATTTGCAGAAATGGTTCTGAATTGATCCTAAATTGTATTTTCAAAGTTATTCACAAAATGAAACCAAAATTTTGTAAACAAATATATGTATATATAAAGATAATTTAAGAGGTTAATAGATATAATAATAGTGTTTTATCTTTTAAATTATATTTATATATATTTGTCTGCTACAAGATACAATTTAGAATTAATTCAGAACCAATTTTGTAAATCCACCAATATGATACTTTTTTTAATATAAATTTAATAAAAATTTATAATACTATATTATATATAGTATATATTCTATTATATATTTAGACTATATTGTTGTTTAAAATTAGGATTAGTATTAGATTAGAGTTAGAGTTAGATTTAAAGTTAACCTAGTATAAAATTGCAAAAAAAGTATTTTTTTAAATAAAATATTTAAGATTTTTGAAAATTTTATATAAAGTATTATAATATAGCGTTATAAATATAATTTTTCTATTTTTATATACTATATTAGTTTAGTATTAAAAAAATTTTTATAATTAAAATTAACAAATTTATTTTTATAATATTTATAAATTTTTTTAAATAACTTTATTAATAAAAATTTTTTTTACAGTATAAGTAAAAATATTTTACAAAATATATAGCTAGTAAATACTATACTATATAAAATTAATTTAAACTAAAATACTAAAACTTAAAAAAAATTTAAAAAATTAAAAATGCTTTTAAATTTATTAAACTTTTTTTGCTAAGCTAAATACTATATTATAAAGTTGTTTAAAATAAAATAAAATTTTAAAATTATTAAATACAATAATTGCTTTTTAAATATATTATTTCTTAATATAAAAGATTATTAGCAGTATACTAAAATTCTATCTATTAAAAAAAACTAATAATTATTATAATAAACTTTTTTTGCTAAGCTAAATACTATATTATAAAGTTGTTTAAAATAAAATTAAATTTTAAAATTATTAAATATAGTAATTGCTTTTTAAATGTATTATCTATAAAAGATTATTAGTAGCATACTAAAATTCTATCTATTAAAAAAAAACTAATAATTATTATAATAATCTAATTTTTGCTAAAAGTTAAAGTTAGAATATAGTTTTAAAACTAATAAAAAAGTTATACTATATATAAGTTAATAGTTTATTGTAAAACTTAAATTATTTATAAAAATTGGCAATTTTTTTAATTATAAATTTTTTTAAAAAATTAAAAAATTAAATCTTTTAAATTTTAATTTTAAATTTTTATATTTATTAAAATTTATATTTTAATAATTTAAAATTGTATTTTATTTATAAAAATAAAAATTAATATTATTAGTTATTTTAATTATATTAATAAAAAGTTTTTAAACTTAAAATTTATTTTAAATTTAAATTTTTATAAATAAATTTTATTATTATTTTATATATATAAATTAGAATATTATATACTATATATACCGTATTTTTAAATTTTTTTTAAAAATAATATATTATATTTAAGCTTATAAACAATTTAAAAATTTTTTATTAAAATTAAATAATTTTTATTAAAAAAATTTAAAATTTTTTTTTAAAAATATTATAATAAAAATTTAAACATAATTATTTAAGATGATTACAGTTTAAAAATTTAAAAAATTGGTTTAACTACAAATATATAAATTAATAATTTGCTTATTATTTATGATATAAATGTATAAATTATCACACAAAATAATACAAATATTTGCACAATTTGATACACAAATGATGCAAAAAAGATATATTTAAATAAACTTATATGCATGTAATAATAATTGTTTACTTTTTAATAACCAAACTTAGTAGCCGGCAATTAGTATGTCCGTGGAAAATCACTAAAATCATTCAAGCTACTATAATTACTTCATTGCTTTGTTAAAAGGAAAAACCATATATACATAAACTAGTAAGTTTTTGGACAATTAAAAAAAAAAAAAACTATTTGATCACATTTATTATAGTTATACTAATTTCCAAGGTTATATCCACGGTTGTAACCAACTAATCAAACAAGTTATCAATAACATGGTGGCTCTTATAAATAGATTACAGATTTTTTTTTTTCCTCCCTGAAGATCATTATACTTCTAACACGTGGATAATATAAATTTATACTTCAATTTTGTCTTTACTCATATCCCTTTCATTTTTTCCTTTTTACTATTACTGTATTATCACATATACTTACTAATTATCGACTGACTATAAATTCGGAAAATAATATAGTTCTAGTAAACTTATTTCTTTCATAAGTACCTCTTGGTATGGAAACTCCAACTGCACTGACAAAACCGCGAAATGTTACTCACACTTTATACAAATTACATGACTGGCTAAGAAAAGGGTTGATTGATGTCAACCCTGAATTCCAGCGAGGTAAATACTATAATAAAAATTTTTAGGGATATAATAAAATGGAATGTCATTGTATTAAATATTTCGGGTATAATTTAATAACACTTTTTCGTTTATGAATGCAGGCGTGGTCTGGCGAGGTACTTAATAAATTAAATAATATATTTTTTTTTTTCAAGATTAATTCATACATGAATTTTTGATGAATTTATAATTAATGATCTTTTGATAATTTTTATGAATTTTAGATATAAAACAATCCCATTTAATCGATTCGATCCTGAATAATTTTTACATTCCACCCGTGATTTTCTCATGCAAAAAAGTAGAGGGTAGTAACAAATGGAAACGTGTTTGTATTGATGGAAAGCAGAGATTGACATCAATTACAAGGTACGTTAAACGAGCTTTCTCTTCTTTAGAATACACGACATTACTAGGATCGTGTACGTTTTCATTGGATAATTTTTGAAGTTTTAGATCTTAAGAGATATTTACGTTAATTAATTAGATTTATGAATAACGAAATTCCTCATCATTCACCTTCTGGAGGACATAACGTAAAACGATATTATGAGAAAGCTGAAGGATCAAACCACATGTTAACTGATGAGGAAAGAGAATTATTCGATTGTTTTGAGATCGTTTGTGGTAAGTATATCGGCCATTATTACCAAGATCAAAGTTTAAAAATTTTCTAATTTTTCTTTTATATATATATATAGTCGAATACTATGATCTCTCGTTGTCACAGGAACAAGAGATATTCAGTCGCGTTCAGCTTGGCGTACCGCTAACTGCAGCAGGTAATAAAATTAAATTATAATATTTGTTATTATATAAGTTTATCATTAAAAATTCGTATAATTTAATTATAGTATATATATATGTTGTTTTTTTTTTAATCTGTTATAGAAAAATTGGCAGTTATAAATACACCCATTGTTGATTTTGCGCAAGATCTTTATAAAAATTATCCATCAATATCAAAAATTATTGATACAACCAGAGGCAAACCACTTCAATTGATTTCTCAAACACTTCACATGATTGAACAAGAATCTGAGAAATTTAAAGCATCAATTGTATCTATTCAAAAATATTTACAAAACGGTCGAGAAGTTCCATTTGGACTTGCACAATCAGTCAAAAAAGTTTTTGAAACATTGGTAACCTTGATTGATCTTGACGTACAAATGTTTCATCAAAACAACAAATTTTCACCTATTGAATTCGTATTCTTTTGTTGGATTATAGCAAAATTTCCAGATGTTGGAGTGATTGTATATAAAGATTATCTAAAACGAATGAAAGAATATGTTAGGAGGTATCATGTAGATATTCGATTCAATCAAAATGTTTATGCTACTTTAAGAAGGTTCGTCTCAGAGTTAGAACAAGAACAGTTTATGGCAGAAATGAATTTTTATGGTAGCTATGATACGAATTATGATCCTAATGAACCATCAAGAAAGAGAATTAAAACCGAAGTGGATTAATTGAATCAAAAAAAATTAGTTTTTTTGAGAATTTTTAGGTGGATCATTTTCATATACGTATTATGCATTAGTTTTTTTCTTTAATAGAAAGCGAGATATAGTTATCTATGATACTATATAATCTGTACAGCTAAATAGTAAGCATGGTCTATTCAGTTATGGTTTGGCTTTCTTTAAAAAAATATAGTATTTTTCTCTTGACGATGATCATTCTTCGTTTTCTATATATAAAAAAAAAATATTAAAAAAATCTGTATTATAATTAACCTTGTTAGATTAATTGTGCCGGATCGGAATTATACATTGTAAACTAATAATAGTTGTACAGTAAATTGACTGCATACCGAACGATGATGTGCAATGCGTCAAAAAATCTTGTCCGTTTCCTTATTTGGTTTAAAAATTGACTAGTCAAAAAGATTAAACAAAAAATTTTGTAATACGAACCTTTAAAGGTAAAAAAGTTCATAAATGTAGAGAAAATCTGGTTTCTAATTTTAATGCATTTACTATCGTAACGTACTGTAATATCGATTTTTGTTTAATCTAAATACTGTAGTAAGTGAAATTTAAGTGGGAAAGTAAATATGATAGAGATTTGAAATTATGGAAAAATTGATGATATGATTACACGTGATATACCAGATACTTAAATCGTATAGATCAGAAAAAAAAAAAATCCTTTAGATCAAAGTTTATACGGCAGGAAGAGATGTTTAAAATTTAAATAGTATACATAGGTGTAATTCTTTCAAAAGATAATTCGGTGCCAAGTAACACAAGTTGCTGGCAACAAAAATTCAGCGAATATGTTCATTGATTAAATTGTCAACTAAAAATGTATTTCCTGATAAAACTACAGCTAAGAATTATCCAAATAAAATTTTGCGTGTACTAATCCATAAATCGATAGAAATATAATCGTTTTTTTTGCCGATAATAAATGTAATGATTTATTAGACATAAATTTGTAATTGGGACAATACTAATTTAAAATCATTAAAAATGAAAAAAGGAAATAACACTTATACAGTATGTACGAAGACAGCGAAGCAAAATATATTCACAACCAAAAAATGGCTTTTAATATATTCGCATTGATATCTTCACAAAAAAAATTTCTCTAAGTCCGGGCCATTTGATTACTAGCTACTTTCATTATAACAGCTAACACTCGGCATATTTCGGACTAATATATGTAAGTTAAGAAAATAAAGTACATGATTGGTGAGTTAAGTAAGTGTGATCTAAATTGCCAATGTTATTATGGGATTCTGATCAGGAGATAAGAACTGATAAAGATGAAATTGATAACACTCTTAATGCACAAATCTTATCACGTGAAATCAATAAGCTTGACATATCATCACGAGGCGATTGCCAAGAATACGTGGAATTACACCACGCATCCTTGATCTCACAAATTCGCCTAAAATATTACAAGCAAATCTATAGATGTATAATTTAAACGCGTATAAATCTTTAATATCGTATGTTTTAAAATCGATATCCAAAAGATTTTCTTGAGAAAGTGACATTTGGAATAATAAATCTGTCACGAATCATTATTCATTCATTTTGTCTTTGAGAGTTTTATTTCTTTTTTTTTCATTCTCATCTATTTTCTTTTCCTCCCTTTTAAGAATGCTTTTGAATAAAAATCATGTGTTTGATACAAATCTAATTCACATATGTGCTTAATAAAAATATCATTATCGTTATAGGTTTTCTATTTTCAAGTCCATTACCGGACACAGTGAATACTTTAGTTCCGATGTTGCTTACAAATTTATTTGGATCAATCAAAGTTGTACACATAAAAAGTTCTATACTGTACATAACAAAATATAAAAATAAATACTAATTATTTATTTCATTATGTAAATGGAATTACTAATTACTAAATACACACAATTGGCGGGCACTTTAATAGATCCTTGTAAAATTTGATCACAATCTAAAATTAGACTAGGTTAATAGTAATGATATAAGTTCTATTATGGGATCAAATGACTCTGGTTGTCTACAATTTTGTTAAGTTTATACACCAAGAATTTATTGAGTTCTATCTTGGTCGGTCAGTTTGTATAACATTGGGGGTGATTCAACTAACAAAAATCCCAAATTATAGAATTATATATAGATTATATCAAATTTTATAAGCGAAAAATTTTTATGTATATTGTATTTCGAAAAAAAAAAACTTTATATAAAGACTATATTGAAATTCTAACATAATTTGAGCTTTTTTATACAGTACAGTCGTCCTCCTCTACAGTCACCTCCTATATAATCACACCTCTTTGTAAGCACTATTTTTTGAAAATTTATTAGTAATACATTTATTAAAAAACTCTACATAATCACATTACTATTAAAATTTTATAGTCACATCTTTTTATGTAAACCAAACAGCGTGATTACAGAGGAGGACGACTGTACTTAAAATAAAAACGTAACTTTGTTAATAGGGATTTAATATTAGCCTTTACACAATGGCCTATCTCAAAAATATGATATTATGTCTATTTAAAGTTTACTATCTGATAAAAACTACGATCTATATGATCCACATAAAAAATTTCAAGAGAATAGGGGTGATTTTTTATAATAAAGATATAATAAATTTCAATTTTATAATTTATCGCCATAGCTAGTCTATGTGGAGTTTCAATCTATGCTTACAAATCATTAAGGTTAATGATTTGTAAGCACAGTTTGAAACTCCACACATAGGACCATTAGACTAGCGACACATCGCTACGGCAATAAATTATAAAACTTTACGTGACTTTAAATTTAAAATACTTGTAAAAACTAGCTCTACAACCTTTATTAGAGCTTCACAGAAAGTTATAAAAAATTAACAGTAAGGAATGATAATTTTATATTTTATATACTGTATATTATTAATAGAATTACTACTGTATAAGAATTTATTAATAGCATTCTCCTTACTATATATCAACTAATAAATTTAATATATATCTATATATAATTTTGATTTTATTAGTTGAACGCACCTATGTGCATGATAATTAAACTTGATAACAAATTTTAAAACCTTAATAAAATCGACAAAATTATAGTACACTTCCAACTGTAATAACTAACACTAACCCATTTTATTATTTACTAAAAACATTAAATCTGAGACTCAAAATAGATTCTTACGTGTTCCCTAATTGTGATGTTTCGTTTGGACAATTTGAACAGATGATAATCTTATTTAGCATCACTGTTATAAATAAAATCTCGTGAATTCCAAGTCGGTAAATATACAAGAAAAATTAAAAATTAATTTTTTTTTGTAATAATTCTTGTCAAAAGCTTTTCATTTACATGCTTAGTTCATAATCCGTCAAAGGGAAATTTAAATGATTTTGGTCTTAAACTATTTATATTATGGTTGTCTGTTGTTTTAACTATGTATTAAATGGATTCTGAATTAAGTTAACCATTTAGATAGATTAAAATTTTATAGATTTATGTAGAATCCAAATTTAGATGCACAAATTTAGATGCATACACATCTATTTATAGACAGATACGCTTTTTAAGTGTATAAGTCACGTGATTTGGATTAAAGTTATCGTTATGGCTATACACTTCAGTTAATTCTTAGTTGATCAGACAATCAAGTATATGGGGGGCGTTGCCAAGGGAAAAACATGTAAGTACATTCATACATTCATACATTTTAAATTTTTACCGAACTTCTGAAAATTTGTGATATTACGTAATTTTATCTCCAAAAAAGATAATAAACTGCTTCAATTACATGATTTTTTCACAATTTTCTAAGTCCGATACAGTGAAAAAGTAAATTTGTACTTAGTTTCATCTTGGCAGTATTCATATGATGTTCTACAGCTACAATAAATGCTACAATTCCGAAAATTATATTCTTTATATAGTATCGATAGGGTGTTTACAGGTAAAATTTTACCTTGGCGCAATAACCAATCATGTAAGTAAAAGTGGCAAAATTAAATTCCAATGCGGATTAAAGGTTATAGGCAATCATAGATATTTTAAAACTTTGAACTTTTATTTCATTTAAAGATTCAAAAAATATATATAAATATATATATAAATATATAAATAAATAAATATACTATATATATATATATATTTATTCATTTATTATTTATTTATATATATTCAAAAAATAATAAAATATCATCCCACATGTATTATTATTAACTGCGTTAGGACATGTGACATGTTTGATAAATCGTGATTTTTATAATAAGAGTGTGAGAGTGAAAATCAGGAAATAAAATTTATGATTGGTTAAATTTTATTTCCTGGTTTTCACTCTCACGCACTCATATGAATTCCAAAGGTCTCAAAATGCAAAACAAGATTTAAATGGGTATAAAATAAGGCTAGGTGTAGTGTCCCGGGGATGTCCTTTTCAATTATATACTGTATAATACAGTATATATATATAATATATACTGTATGAGGATTGTTGTACAAAAATTTGGAATATACACATAGGGCATCAAAAAAAAAAACCAAAGCGTGCTTAGGTGACATGCCCAAAATTTTCCGTGCCCCGACTATAAAGACATGTGTTACCAAAGTGATATTGATGGAAGGTTTCTGAGTGGACGATTTGGCTTATCATACGTATATCCTTATATATATCCTGTATTACCTGTTACGGTTTGTGCAGATCTGCGGAAAAGCGCATCTACTCATTTAATTGCAGGCAAATTTTCCTGTAAAATGATGTAAGGGATAATCCTGACTGTCAAAAGCAAATCCAAACTGGGGTGATTTTAATAATAATTAATACCAATCCAAAACTAGGTGTAATTTTAATAATAATCTATGCCTAATATTAATCTAATTTTTACGCAACAAATAATAAAATAAGTTAAATTTTATTTTAGAAAATAAAAATTTGAAATGATGCATACATACTTTGCATTTATTACATTATAATATGCAATCTATGTTTTGATAAGAACTTAAGGAGATCTTGTAATCTCTCACCTGGCTCTAGATCTACTTATTCAGGGTAATCTTTTATACAGTATGACCATTTACAGAATAACATTCGCTAATCCGGTAATTTATTAGTCCGGCAACTAATTATCCCGGCAATTTGTTACCAAGGCGATTCACAATCCCGACAATTTTATTATTCCAAAATTTTATTTAAATGAATTCTGCTTTCTTCTGTAATTGGAACACTAACGCCAACTGTAGTAAATTCTAATTTTAATTTGTTACGTACTATCATCAGACCATAACTAATTTCATATTCTTCAGGATTTCATTTATTATTGTAATGTTATTAAATAATAACAGATAATGCAGATAACTATCAGATTATGAACTTTTTGGATGGTATTATTCTGCGATTAGAATTTTGCGATTAGAATTACGTAATCTTTATACCATTCAATTCGTCAATTCGTCTACTGAGACGAATAATATACCGTATTTTTCGCGTAATAACCCCTACCTGTGCGTTAGAGTATGCGGTTATTTAGAGAACATGCATGAGCGTTGTTTGAAAAATGTAATATCTTTTCCCGCACCCGATTTAAATTAACCAACTCCCCATGTGGACTGTAGAATTGGAATTATGCCAAGAATTAATTACCTGAATCTCTCAACCTTATCATTGTCATTACTAAATGATTCTCTTGGCGTTACACAATATATTTATTTATATATAAAAGTGTGATATTAAATTAAGTAGCTGTGCGTCTTAATCATACTGAGACCAAAAGACGGTATACACTTTTTGATATTGTATCTCTTGATTCTGGTATGTACTGTAACTTCCGGAAATGTAATTTTGTAAGCATTTTGTCATACGATTATTATTTTATAATTTTATGTAAGGAATACTGTATAATTGGAATTATTGGATGTGTAGCATCCAATAACAGTTTTATTTGGCAGAAATGAGAATACGTGATCCGGGATAATCATTTTGGATAAGAAGTTCTGGCTTTGAATTTAATGTGCCAACCCGGGCCCTGAAGGGGCTCAAGCAGGGACACGGAATTTATGCGATAATAATTTGTAAATTATATATGCGGTATATGTAAAATATTCGACTTACTGTATACATGCCACACAAATTATAAACTCTTAAAATCCCAAAACATAGTAAAATCGTCCCAAATCCCAATCCCAAATATAATAAAATTGGGATTTTGGATCTGGGTTTGGAATTTGGGACGAGTAGTTTTTGCAGCAAGTAAAATATTAAAGTGAAATTAATAATCTGTGCTTGGTTTATGGTCACATGATGACGATCAATAAACATTGAACAATAGTACGTACATCAATTAATATAAAATTTTAAATGAAGTTATCTTTGAAATTCAATGAAAATTTTTATTTTAATTCTACAGATTTGTGGAAGAGTGGAATCGGTAAATAATTATTCGGGCATCGATCGAAAATTTCGAGCTTCGTAATAACCTTCACATGACCACCAAAATCAGTTACGTAATCGCTGTTTAAAACCATCTTCAGAAAATTAATGCAATTGTATATTAGTCATTTATGACGATATCTGTTTATAATATTGTATTTGTTACAATGATTGTTTAAAAATATCTTTTCTTACCATATTTCGTAAAAATTTAACTAGTGGAAGCCGATTATTCTGTCCAATTGAATTAATTTTGAAAATAATTAAAAACATGTATCAAATGCTTAACCGCATAAATAAAGAAAAACGGAAACTTCAAGAGCAGAATATGGATATTCGTGAAATGCAAGAAAATCTATAAACCTGAAGATCTTGAAGATGTAGTTTATAATACTGTAATAAACTTATACGAATGGATATTTCAGATCGCATCGACAAATTAGGAAACATTGATGAATCACAAACTTAATATTGTAAAGCTCTGTGAGAAAGGTGACAGGTGAGAAAGGTGACAGATACTCTTATGTTTATCATAAGAAGTATTATAATAAACAAACAAAAGTATGACATTCACTTATTGGTGCAATTACCATCAAGAGCAAGAAAAAAAAACAAAAGTTTTAGATAGTTCTAGCAACGCAACACAGAGTCACAATTGGACCGTTATGATTGTGGAGGTGTTATTCTTGTTAGAGTTGATTTACAAAATAAATTAGCATCAGTAAAATTCTTTAGGAAGGTTTGATAGATTTATTTATATTTTATTTTGAAAACGTATATTTATTAATAATTTATTCAGAGAAATTCAAATTATCCAATAATTGAAGAAGCTGAAAAAACGATATGGAAGAATATTCGCATGCCATCTGACCATGCACAACTTTATTTAGCGATAACAATTAATTCAACTGTTTTTGACAATGATATTATTGCAAAAAATAACGAATCAAATAAAACAGAATTGAAAACTTCGATCAGCATAAAAAACTCTTCATGAGGTATATAGCTTATTTGTTAATAAAAGTATTATCAATATTACTCTAATATAGACGCTTGAAAGCCTTATTACCTTCCACAGCAAAGAGAATAGTTGAAAATATTGAATCAAGCTTCAAAACGATTCAAAATATGGTAGACAACATAAAAAATCTTGAACCAAGCAATAAAGGCCTGGAATAAACGAACAAGAATATTGATAATAAATTTAAAATTCATAAATATTTCATGTTATTGTATATATTTGAACAAACAATTGGCATTTTTTTTTACGCAATAAAAATCTTTTATAACTGACAATTAAAATTTTAAATTTATGCAATATAACTTTATAATAAAATATTTTAATAAAAATTTTAAATCGTTATAATATCTTAATAAAGTTTTTATCGTTATATATCAATATAATATAATTTGTGCTGGATTATAAGATCTCAAATTTTAAACAGCGATTACGTAACTGATTTTGGTGGTCATGCTAGTGGGTTATACATCACGATCATAGGAGTTTCAAAATCAATGTTTCATCATCTGATTCAGATAAAATATGTAATACGTTTATTTCGAATTTAGTGCTCTTTTTTTTTAGTTACAAATTTCAAAACATATCATGAAAGATCTTTTTAGCTTTCATTTATTCTCTCAATCTTAATAAAAATAAATTTATGAATCAAATCATTAATTCTGAAACACACTAGAAGATGTTATCGGCTTGATCCAGCTTATATATTTAGCTATTATGAAGGGCTGATTAATGAATAGAGCCGAATGAATTTATAGCTTCCCTATATTAGTATGCACTTTGAGATCTCCTGCTGAAATTGCGAGACGGTTGTGCTATTCATTTTTTCAAAATTATAACACTGCATAGTTCTATAAAATTGTAGAATACATAAATGTTAACCTTTATCATTGTAGGAGATTTTTCTTTTGAACAGGAATTTTCTATGTATTTCATATTATTTTTTTTCATGTGTATTCATACTCCCATACAAATTAAAGTTTTTTTTTTGAACTTTGAGATAAAGTTTTTTTATTTGAATTCTATGAATTCGCAGAGTTCAAATAAAAAAAGGTTTACTGAAATTTGCCTGGTGGTTGCCGAGATATCTTTGCTCAAAGTCTTAAAAAACTCAAACTGTCTATCAAAACTCAATCATTTTATTCTTTGAGCGAAGATATCTCACCAAGCCAAATTCGATGAACTTTTTTTATCTGAATTATAAGAATCTGTAGAATTCAAAAAAAAAAAAAAAAGTTTACTGAATTTAGCTTGGTGATTGTCAAGATATCTTCGTTAAAATTTTTAAAAATTCAGCGCCTATAAAAGTAATTAACCATAGCTGCCGCGATTTTGATTGGCTAACGGCCGAGGATCTTCAAAATTTTGGCCCACATTACAAAATTGTTTACTAATTTCTGGCCAGAATTAACGTTTTGATTTTTTCATTACAAAAATAGAAATTCTTAAAAAATTGACTCGAATTATGGTAAACTTGGCCCAGGAACAATTTCACTTAATAAACGGTTATGATTTAATTAGTAAAATTATGAGTAACTCCGGCCTAATTTTTTTATCGCCGCTCTTAGCCAACCAAAATCGAGAATCTACTGGTCCAATTTTGTTGCGGCATAATATACTGTGGTTGTGGCGTATACAGCATTTTGCATAATACACAACATAAATTTAGATTGAAATGTCCAAGATTTTCATTTCATCAAAATAAAAAACTTGGTACGTAATCGTCAAAATTATATAGATCGTTTATCTTAATACTAGATAACATTAATAATCAATGCATACATACAATATTATCAACATTTAGAAAATTTCTATTTAGTTCAATGATTTTTATTATGATCTACTAATAAATTAATTAAGTCTTAACGGAATTATTGTCATAAATTAGGTTTAAAAAAAAAAAGAATGGAAATTTTTAGAAAATGAATTATACATCAAAATTATTAAAACACATCAGATGTTTAGAATTCTTTAGTGGAATAGGCGGCCTTGTAAGTATTAATTTCTCTTGTCTTTTACAGCAAATATTTATTAAATTTTTATATAAATTTTTCATAGCATTATTCTCTTAATCTTGCATGTTCTCTTGGAGAAGTTGTTGCTAGCTTTGACATAAATATTATAGCTAATGCTACATACAAACATAATTTTGGAAAAAATCCAGTGACGGTATTTCTTATAAAATTCTATAAAATTATAAAGTTTTCAATTTTATTAGCTTATTTTGATTTTTTTTGATTTTGTTGTTTAAGAAAGGAATCGATTTCTTAAGCGCTGATGATATTGAGAGATATGATGCAAATTGTTGGCTAATGAGTCCACCATGTCAACCATATACGCGTGGCGGAAAAGGACTAGATGATCAAGATCCGAGAGCAAAAGGGTTGCTTCATTTGATTGATATTTTGCCTAAATTATCTAATCCTCCAAATTACATTTTTCTTGAAAATGTGTTGAATTTTGAGGTATTTATATATGTGATGCAATGATTGTCCTTTGAAGAGTATTTTATCTTATATATTTGTATTTAAATTTAGAAATCAAAATCTCGAGAGAAATTGATTACGCAATTATGTCAGATGAATTACGAAATTCATGAATGTTTATTAACTCCTTTGCAATTTGGTATTCCAAATAATCGATTGAGATACTATCTAATTGCACGAAAATTACAAGAGTTTAACAAACAGGAGAAAGTGATTACGCCACAGAAATATTTTGAACAAGCAACTATACATACGTCTTGGCCATTTGAATGTATGTTGGATAGCAAGGAAAATGACAAATGTCATCATTGGAAAAGGCAACAGGGTTGGCAACTTTCAGAATTCGATATTCCCGAGTTGAGTAATTATATCGACAATATCCTGGATGAAAAAGAATTAAATAAATATCTAGTTCCTGAAAAGTATATTTTAAAAAGTTATAATTTTAAATTTGGTGCGTATAAACAACTTGAACAATTTAACACATTAATAGGTTCTTACAGCATAAAACTCTCTTTTACAGATATTGTAAGGCCAACCGATAAAAGATGTTCATGTTTTACAAAAGTATAATCATAATAATGCAATTTTATATGAGCTTAATTATAAAATTTATTTTAAAATATTTTTTTAACTATTAATAGTCTTATGGTAGTCATCATGTATTTGGAAGTGGTTCGCTTATACAAACCAAAAATTTAGAGGTATTGTAATATATGGTTTATATATATAATTATTTATGGTTATTAAAATCAACTGCAATTTTTTTTTTATATTACAGTTTACAGATTACAATTTTGAAAATCCCAAATCATTACTTGAACTTGGATTAAGATTTTTTACACCAACAGAAATTGCAAAATTACATGCATTTCCTTTAAAGTCTCACTTGTCATCACATTCAAATAGAAAAAATGAAAATGTAATTGATTCTATTAATAACTATACTCCAAATTTGTATAATTGTTTTGAATTAATGCAAACATCAAATTATTTGGAATTCCCCGACGATGTTAGTATAATTCAGAAATATAGATTATTGGGAAATAGTTTAAATGTATTTGTTGTTTCAGAGTTGTTAAGATGTGTTTTATTTAATAATTGTTAAAAATAAATTTCTTTGATTAGCATCTTTCAAAATGAATTTGGAAAGTAAAATTAATAATATTTTTTATCATAAAGCTTATCCATAATCTGAAGTAATACTAGTCAACTATTTTATATCTATAACAAAAGTATATACATAATTTTTGTGCAATAACATGCATCTATGCATTACTTTAAGTAATTGGTGTGTGTTTCTCTTCTTGAAAAAACACCATCTTTCGGTTATTCAATTGCTTATTTTCACATTATTTCAAATCAAAGGGCAATTGTTTGTGCGTTTAAGATTAAGAGTGTTTTCAGGCCCATTCTCGGTGTGATTAGCTAGTGATCGCAATGGTGCTCAGGCATAATTATATTTGCATCAGTATTGTTTCTAGACCGGTCCAGTAAAGATCACTAGAACTGGAAGGATTACTGGAACTAACTAGATGAAACTGAAAGATATTTAGGTTCCAGTAGTAAGTTGTCACTAGACCCTTCCAATCATTTTTTTTTTAAACATTGGATGGGAGGTCCAGCGAGGTTCAAGTTAAATTTAATATGTCAAAAAAAGCATAAAGATAAAAAAAACTTTTTTATTTAAATACACATTTAATCTGTAATAGTGCAATCCTGTAATCAAAAAAATCAGACCGAAAAAATAATATGCAAACTGAACTTGTAATTGGTAAGATTCAATATCAATTATGATCGTTTAATTAACTTTTTCATGAGATATAATTCTATGAAAAGCCCAATTCGGTGATTAATAGTCCCAAAAATCACTGAACTGCCAAAGAAGAAATCGGCGTTAAAAAGAATGAACACAAAGCGTTCAAATATTATCAAAAATTTGATAGTAATTTAATTTTAAACTTTACAAAGATAATACGATAATTGATAGTCGCCTACCTATAAAGTGATTTTATTATGATTTCACTAATATCTATACAAGAAATTAATAAATAAGTTTTTCTGACATTCAATTTTAGATTATAAGTTGATCTAGAATCAAATTTAGGTGGGCACTACGTGAAGAACCAGGTACTGTTTTTGAGGATATATTATACTAAAATTAGTACCCGAATCTTAATCATGGAGGATTTATTTTTGGGAATACTGTAAGCAGTGGCCAACGATAACCGAAGAATCATCCATTTAATTAATCTCTAATTCGTCACTTCCTCATGGTATAACTATTTTTACAAATTCAAATGTTTGCTGCTGCAATATTGATATTAGGGTGATTCATAATTAACTTGTTTCAAAAATAAGTGGGGTACAAAATGTCCTATTTCTGTTTTAAAATTTTGAAAGCAGAAAGTGTTATCTAGAGACAAATGAGTGCCCTTTTTTGTTATTATATGATCTATAATAAGGTAGCTGCGCGACGTCATCGCGCAAAACCAGGAACGGGAAAGTATCTAGATATTAAGTGGTCTGAAATTTTAAGTTAATCTGATTCTGCGATATTTGATCATACTTAGATCATGTCACAATTAGGGATGTTAATCAGTCCGACTAAAACTCGGTCTTGCGTTCTGTCTTAGGACCGGGCCAGTCTGGTCTTTTATAGACGGACCAAAAAGACTATCGGTCCTAATTTAGCATAAAAAAATTTATTGTAGCGAATTTAGATTATTAGCATTATTATAATACACAGTACAAGTGCCAGTAGGGCACATACACTGGCGATCATAAGTAGTGCAACAAAAAAA